AGAATTTTCTTCATTTTTCTTTTTTCAAAGGCAGGCATTAAAATGACCAAAGAGATAATAAATTAATTTTGTACAAGAAGAGTGATGGTTGGTGAAACAGACACAATCTCAAAAGCTCTCACCAATGTCATTCTGACCTAAAGATATCAAATTAAGGTATTCTCTCAACTTTGGTGACTTTAAAGTGGCTGAAGAACCATGGCAATATCAAAAACACAGGTCTGCAGCTGTGAGGCCACATTCACTTTACTTGGTTTAAAGTCTCAAAGGAGTCCATGTGCCCTAAATCCCTGAAGAAGGGACATTAGGAGCAAAATTCAGTAGGGTAGAAGGACTTGAAACGTCCATTAAATTTCTCTTCTGATCTCTTAGTCTACACTTCATTAGTAACACTACAGAAAAGATGGTATAAAAACAACTTTCATTAAATTACCTTAGGCTAAAGTTTTGCTTTGTAGAATGGGTATGTTTCAATTTTCCAGAAAGAGAACAGGAAACCTTGAGACCTACAGAGATGTAAACCTCCTAAAATTTCTTGGCAAGAAAACAGTATCACTGATTAACTTTGGCAATTAAAAAAAAAAGTTCATATTGCCATTTCCTGAAGATAAACTGGGACAGAATTTAAGAGTTTAGCCCAAAGGCATAACTAGAGCAAAAGTACAACACAAAAGTTCTAAGCTCTAGGTTAAACTCATTAAACTCCACTCAGATATAATTTCAAATTCAGAGTTTTATTAAAGTCACAAAAAGATCACAAAAGGGCAGTTAAAATTTTCAAGAACTAAGAAACCTCTTACTGGTCTTTCCCTTTTATTTAAGAATTTACCTTACCTGATTCCAAACAAAAGCAGTAATCCAAACAGCTAAGGGCTCAACAAAGTGAAACCTTCTAGCAATAACATTCCCTTGAACTTGCAGGCTAAGAATCCCAGCCTCTCCAATTAGCACATGACTCTTCCCTCCCTCCTAAACTGGTTTTCATCCTATATATATTGAGAAAGCCTTGGATGAGCTGACTAAAAGTAAGAAAAATGTCATTTCACTAAAGGCATTAACAGTACAAAATGAATTCTCTCAGAATTCATTGAAATAACAAAATAATATTATAGAGAGAACAGAATTAATGCAGCTTAGCAATATTCAGTAAAATGAATGCAGTTTCTGTCAAAAAATATAATATTCCAAAATCATTTAGTGTGATTGGCAGCATCAAATATAGTGAAAGAGATTTCTATTTCAAGATGCAGTGGGTTCTCTTCCAAAAGCTCAGGTTTATGGTATTCCTCCCGTGCACCAGATGTCTGCCCCCAGGCTCTGAAACACCTCACAACCCACACAGGGGAGCTGTTGTCTTCCCACTTCCATGATGATGCATTATGGAAGAGAACACAAAATGAAAGAATCCTTAAAAATCTGTTGTTTATTAAATCATTTAACTTCAGGTCAAACAGTAGACTCTGGTACGCTGGTACCAGATTTCGGGTACATTGAAAGACTTTGAAAATGTAAACTGCAAATCGAAAATGAAATATTTGTCAAAAGCAAGGAAGAGGATTCTTTCATAGGTTCATCACAGGGAAATAGGAGAAAATACCATTACTTTATTTCTAAAAATACTGTGTGCTAATATGGCAAACACTCCCTTTGGTCTACATGCAAAATACAATGTGTTTGAATAATTGTTGATCAGGTTATGAAGTTCAGAAATCATCTTATCCACAGGTGCAGCATTTTGAACAATATAATTCTTAGATGTCAGAGGGAGAAAAAAGCCTAAGCTCGGTCTAAAGTAAAGAATCAATGTGAACACTGCAAATGGGCAAGAGAAGAATCTGGGAAACCCACTGGGATGCTCTAACAGTTGATCAGGGGAATTGCGATGATGATTTGGGATCAGGAAGTTAGTGAGAGTGTAGAAAGTGTAGATTCAAGGTAAAGTGACACCCCATGCTAAATCACTGCCTGACAATAACAGGAATTCAATAATCTGCTGACTGACTGACTGAATGATTTCTCAAGCAGAGTTGTTGATGCTAAGGCATCCACTAACCCACAGATGCATGACCTCCCCCTGAGAAGTATAATTATCCAGTGGACATCAGAAACATAGAATGATGTTAAAGAAATGATTCTTAAATTCATAAACCAGTTGGCAAGATTCCAATCACAAAAACCTCTTGATGTGTAAAAGTATCTTTGTGAAACAAAATGCCTTTCACACTCTAACAACGGAAAATTTTAGAAGCCAGGTATCTTTCTGTGATGTGACATTCCAAACTTGTTAGAGAAATGTATTATTTAAAGTAGCCTGGAGCTATGCTGCTAGAAACACAATAAAACACTAAAGGTGCTGAAAGAAAGCCCTTTCTTTCAAGAAAAATAAAACTGTAGTTATATAATCTATACTTGTTTTTCTACTTTTCATCTTATAAAACAAGCTCTTTGTTAGTACTTCCTAAAACAGCAAAATATTTTTGATTATCTATTAGCAACAAATTCAAATGTAGAGTTACGATATTTTCTTATAATCTGATAAATTCACAAGGTCAGGACAGAGAATGTCTTACCCATGTTATTTAACAGTTTTGACCTTTTGTCAATATAACATTTATTTTACTGGAACTATAACTATAAAACCACTTGGAAAAATCCAAATGTTTGCCCAAGTAGCTATGAGAACAAAAGAATTTCTGATAATAGTCAACAGGATTCAAAATCTAATAATTAATATCATTACCCCTGAAAATGGTTTTTCATCCTTAGAGCATTAATAACAGCACCAAAGGGGTAGTGAGGCTTACTCAGCTGCTCTCTTGCTAAGATTATGCCAAACCTAACGTAAGTATTAGTTTCTCAATAACTAAAGCTTTATTTACCATTACATTAGTTAAAAGACTATAGTGCCTATGCAAGGGTGAAAAGCTCAAATAAAGTTTAATTTTGCTCGAAAAGCATCAGCAAGAAGTTCATCTAAGAGTCTTGTACTTTGATCACAAGGCCAACTACCAACATCCTCACCACTGCTTCTAAAGAATCTCAAAATATAGGAGGTAGAGAGGGGTTGGATTATATTTCTACATAAAAACCTTAGAAAATGTAACTAAAAATATAATCTGCCTTCTTCCATTTGGTAGACAACCACTTTTCCCTGCATTGAAAACAAAGCTTTACAGAGTACTCTCTGTACCTGTGGAATGTTTTTAGATCTTGAAAATGCTTTTCTGAAGAATCAAAATAAAGATACATAAGAACATCAAATAATGCTTCTGGCCTGTTACTATAAGAACTATTTTAAAGAATTTTGGTGACTATGATGGACAATAATGGAAAATTTTATTAAAAGGTTTACTGAGGTTTAAGGTTGAATAAAACAAAGATATAAAATGTTCCATCTATCCTTTATAATTCAAGAAAATAAGACAGTGTGTTATTAGCTAATTTTCTTATTTCACCAACATATGCACAAATCATTAACATAATTCACATAAAAAGAGAGTAATGAATAACTTCCAATTTACGTTATTCCCATTTTAGTAAAAGCTCTTACTGCTTATTTTTAGCACTGTATCCAGTAAAATTTTTCTTCATTAGTAGGAAAGGTAATTTATTTCAACAGGGAAAATAAAAGCCTAAACATAGGCTCTGTATAGTTTTTAATTACAAAGAAAATTTAGATAAAAACATACCTTAAATGCAATATTTGGTTGAAAGTAGACAAACTCATTAATGAAATCTTAAGCAATAGTACATCTTATACTAGTTATAAATTCAAATACTATTTTAAGTCTCAAAATAAGTTCAGGTAGCAGAGAGCTCAACTGAGCAAGTTATATATTTATATTTTCTGCCAAATAATCTGTTCATAGCAAGGCCATATAAAAGAAATGTATTCCAAGACTGGTCCAGCCCCTGTGGAAGAAAGCATGGAGCTTTCTCAAAATATTAAAAATAGTTCTACCATATGATTCAACAATTCCACTCTTAAGTATCTGCACAAAGAATGCAAAAACACTAATTTGAAGGGATATATACAGTCCTATGTTCATTGCAGCACTGTTTACAACAGCCAATTTATGGAAACAACTAAATAACCGATAGATAAGTGTATTAAGGAAATGCGATATACATACACAATGGAATACTACTCAGCTTTAAAAAAGAGAGATAACTCTTGCTATTTGCAACAACATGGATGGAACTGGAAAGGAGTATGCTAAGCAAAATAAGTCACAAGAATAGAGACAAATAGTGGATGATTTTACTCATGTGGAATATAGAGAAATAAAGGAACAGACAAAACCAGACCAAAGCCTAAAAATCTGATTGTAGAATTGAGGCCACAAGAGAAACACAGGAGGGTGAGAAGCGAAATCAAAGGGGGTTCAATGGAGTATGGTGGAGGACTGAACACCATGGTGGTAGGTGTGTTATGGCAACAGATCTGAAGAGGTGTGAATCTATACATCCAAATAATACAGTGTTAAAAACCACTGTTAACTCAATTACAAAAATCACAGGAAAAGAAACTCATTTGATACAAAAATAAAATGATAATAAAACAAATAAAGCCTAAGCTGTCAAATCTAATCAGGAATGATGAATATTTCCAAAGTGAAGCAAATATCATTAAAATGAGGTATTATTTCAATTTATTTAAAAACCACATATAGTTCAAACAGCAAACAGTATAAAATACAGCATCACCCCTCATTCGAACCAAAAATCTCAAACATTCAGATTATTTTTTTAAGTTACAGGCTGTATGTTCTTAAAGTTTGCTTTAAGAAAATGTTGGCTTCCTTTTCCTAGGGAAATCCCAGACTACCGTGATATCTAAGAAATACGATTAAATTAGTTTAATTACTTCATGTCCACTTGATAAGTTGCTGCTCTTTAATGCAAAAACTGCCATTTGTAATTAATGACTGTTCATACTGCTTCAATTGATCAAATGTCTAATACACATAAAACATTGAAAGAAGTTCTGTATATCTTACAGCAATTCAGTGGAGAAGTCTTGTCCCAGGGGTATGTAAATCTGAAGTACAAGAAACCTCTGGATCAGTCCAACTAAAATGAGAAGGGGAAAAATAAACATTCAGATGTCCAAACCATTTATATGTGCATACAAACAAACAACCACACACTATCAACCAGCTGAAATTTTTAGCATTTTTTTTAGCAATGTAGCACAGACGTGCAATAGCACTACTCGTGAGTTATAACCTCATTATGAAAGCAAAAAAAAATTTGATTAAAATCAAATAAAACCAACAACAAATGTGGCTTCTTAAAGTCCCATCTGTGGGCCTGGTAAATTTTTATGAAAATTTAAAAAATAATAATTTTTATTTACTATTTTTATTAGGTTGTAAGAGAATGTACACATAGAATTGCATTCAATAGAGACATATAAAATTGAACTATAGAGTCCCATCAAGGCAGCCATAAAAGCATGTGGCAATTATTTTTATTCACTGACAGTTTTAACTGTACTAAACAATTTAATAAAAAACAATAGATCAAGAAAAACAATTCTAATTATGATAACTCCTACGGAAGGTTTGAAGAGCCATATCTAGTTCACATGACTTTAAATGCGTCCACATTGTGAGGGATGGAGGAACATATTTTTACTTATAATACCTATTATTAATTTAACACATTTTTAATTAATTTAATGCTCCAAATTAAGAACCGAGAGTTTTTATTCCCCATCACCAGCTTTATTTGTATTAAAAATACGAATAAATTGATTTGAGGAAAACCAATTCCCATGACACTTGATAGTGGAAATCTATAGTTGCTTCCAAAATCAATTGATTTTACATTACTTCTTCAGCCCCATTCACTGAATTCCTTTCCTCTTGTGTTCTGAACTTTTGCTTGATTTCTCAATTATGATGCTTGTAATGGATGTTTTATTATCATTTCCTTGTAAACATGCTTTTTATACCCTGACTTGGGGCATTTAAAATGTAAACCTCTCCTACAAATCAACACATGGCCACCATATGGACAAAAGCCATTAAGGATGACAACTGGTCTAAAATGGATGTTATTTCCTATTATAATGAATTAATAGGCTTAACAAATTTAACTATTTTCAACATAACAATACATGTTTGGATATTCTATATAAAAAGATCTCATTTATAATTTTATAGCAATTGTTTTGCTACATTCTCGAGCAATTTAAACATTTCCTATATTTAACCCAAAATTTACTTTCTAAACAGTAAACATATTTGATGAAAATGCTTAATATTTTTAAAATCAAACATATAGCAATAACTTTCTTAGAATACCAAGTTTATAAGTGACTCCAGAATGCTTCAGTCTATAACATACTAGAAATAGGAAGTAACAGGCTCTAATGATGGAAAATCCTCTAGGAATTGGATTCTACCATATGAGAAAAGCCAGTGAGGTAACCAGAGTTCTGGAGTATAAAATCAAAGTGAGATACCAAAACTGAGGCCAACTTACATAACCCCTCATTAGTCAATCTCTCTCTTGCACCTTCCATTGGTTGGTTCTATGGTATTTTCCTACTGCACAATGTATTATCTCCATAAATAGAGCTAAGGGAGCATCAGGATAAATGAAATCAGTCTTTACAAGAGGCCCCTAATTTATGTTACAAATCTCACTGAATCAGCACTGTTCTCTTCAAATATAAAGAGCTACACATATAGGGCATTTTTGTATGAACATTTTTAGATATGAAAGATGCTCACTTTCAAAAAAATAAAGCTTTGAAATTAAACTTTTTCACATATAGAAGACCTAGCTTCCAAAAGGCTTCACTTTGAAGATTAAAAGTAGTATGACAACACCATAAGGAGATGATTTGACAAAAAATACTTTAGGAACATTTGACATACATTGATCCTGGGTGTCAGAAATGCTAAAGAAACTCTATAGAGAGTTTTTTCCAGTGGCTTAATAATTTTTTTTTTTTTAGGAAGAAATGTCCCTATTTGGTTTTGAATTTTTTTTCATTTTTTTCATTTTATGTATTTTTTATATCATTTTTCATTTTTACACAATGTATGCATTTTCATCTTGGTTCTATTACCCATACAATTCCCGTCCCCTTTATTTTGACTCTAATCCATACTTCCTTTCCCACTCCCCAGTAGTATGTATCTGGTTTACAGTTGCTTGTTGATTTTGATTTTTACTTTATTATAATTAGTCTTTTTTCTGGTCCCTTATTTAGGTTTTCTAAATTCCTGCTATGAGTGAGACCAGCCGGTATTTTTCTTTTTCTTTCTGGCTTATTTCGTTGAGCATGATCCCTTCCAGCTCGACCCATGTTGCTGCAAATTGCATGAGTTTATCTTTTTTGATTGCTGAGTAATATTCCATTGTGTATATGTACCACATCTTCTTGATCCAGTCATCTATTTTTGGGCATTTGGGTTGTTTCCATAGCTTAGCTATTGTAAATAGTGCTGCTATAAAAATAGGGGTGCAGGTGGCCTTTTGAATTAATGATTCTGTGTCCTTTGGGTAAATACATAGGAGTGGAATTGCTGGATCATATGGAAGCTCTATCTTTAGCAGGTTGATCCAGAAATAAATCCACACATTTATGGTCAACTAATCTTTAATAACGTAGCAAAGAATATGCAATGGAGCAAAGAAAGTCTGTTCAATAAATGGTGCTGGGAAAACTGGGTTGCTACATGAAAAAGAATGAAGCTTGATTAATACTTCACACCATGCACAAAAAACAACTCAAAATGGATTAAAGAACTAGACAAGATCTGAAACCATAAAATATATAGAAGGAAATATAGGCGAAACACTACATGACATACACTTCAGCAACATCTGTAAAGACTCATCACCACAAAGCAGTGATAGTGAAGAAGGCAAAGATAAACAGCTGGGACCACATCAAATTAAAGAGCTTCTGCACAGCAAAAGAGACAATAACCAAAACAAAGAGATACCCCAACGACTGGGAGAAAATTTTTGCACACAACACTAATAATAAAGGACTGATCACAAAAATCTACAAAGAGCTGAAGAGACTCAACAAAAACAAAATAAATAATCCAGTCAAAAAATGGGCAGAAGAGCTAAAAAAGGAACTTCTCCAAAGAGAATGCAAATGGCCAACAGGCATATGAAAAAGTGTTCAGCATCACTTGTAATCAGGGAAATGCAAATCAAAACTACAATGAGATACCATCTTATACCAGTGAGAATGGCACATATTAAAATGACTAGCAACAACAAATGTTGGTGAGAATGTGGAGAAAAAGAACTCTCCTGCACTGTTGGTGTGAGTGCAACTGGTCCAACCATTATGGAAGGCTTAGTAAATTTAAACTGACTCTTCATGCCTATATTTAAAATCACTCTAAGTAATGCTGAATGCGGAACTACTGTTAAGTCAAAAAATGACCATCAAATACATAATATTCATAAACAATAAGTCTTTTGACTGAAATATGAAGATTTCTGCAGCTTTAATATCTATTCTCTGTCTGAGGCACTGTTTAAGGGGTCAGGTCTTTTTTTATCTTGAATAGTTTAAAATAGATTAGATTTTTAACAGGTTTTCCAGTTGTTCATTATAGCAAATTATAGATGTATACCTCATATACATTTTACAACTATTACACTGTCCAAAGAGATGAAACTAGGTACAGTACAGTCATTCTTTACAAGTGTCCTGGTAAATCATGAGTCATTCCTTGAGTAGCGCTACACATCCAGTACACTCAAGTGCACCTTCCCACTTCAACACAGAAGACAGGAAAAATGCCTTCATTATGGGCTCTCCCACAACCCTTTGGGCAAATCATAAAACCTGTCATACCCTTTTATTTTTCATGCATAAAATTAGGTTATTAATTTAAACTTATACCTCACAGGACTCTCTGCATGGATCTTTCATTCAATGAAGATCTACTGAGCATCAACTATGTGTAGGACTCGGTGTTAAAGTTTTTGCCATGAATAAAACATAAGTCTCTGCCCTCTTGAAACTTATATTCTAGTCTCATGAAGTAGGTCAGGGTACTATGGAAGCATATAACCTTAAGTCTTACGAGGGAAGGGAATGATGAGTGAAGGTTTTCCTGAAGAAATAACATTGATATTCAGCTGGGAAGAATAAAAAATAATTGGCTGGGCAAGGAAGATGGGAGTAGGTGACAGGAACAAATGTTAAAGAAAAAGGCCATAGCAGACTAGATGAACTTAAAGTCCTAATGGGCTAGTATGAAAGAGAAATGGAAAAGCAGCAGGAGGTAAGTCTGGCAAACAGCCAGACTCAATCATCTGGGGCCTTGAAGGCCATACAAAGAATATAGGTCACCCTAAATCAATGGGAAACCACTCAGTCATTTATTAAACAAAGATTTACTAGTAGTCTATTGTTGCCAGGCACTGTCCTACATGAATAAAACAGACTAGATTTTTGCACTGGTGGGGCTTATTTTCTCTGTAATAGTGAGAAAAAACATAGTATGTTAAAAAGTGATAAATACTACGGAAAAAAGTAGAACAAATAAACATGATCAAGAATGGGGAAGTGATATAAAACACAGGTCTGGGTGGGTCTTCATTGAGAAGGCCTATGGAAGGGCGAGAGATAGCCACAAAGCTATTTGGGAAAAAGAACACTCTAGGTATAAGGTACAGCCTGTGTGTATGTGCTAAGGTGATAGAGCATCAAGCTATGTTTGAAAACAGCAAGGAGACCTATATGGTTGTAGCACAGTGAACAAGGGCAAGTGTAATAAGAGATAAGGTCAGAGAGTTAGTGGAACATCAGATACTGCACGGTTCTATAGATTTTTGGTTTTTACTCAAAGAGAAATAGGGCTTTTTCAGGGGAGGAATGTCTCACATTTATAAGTACCACTCTGGTGGTTTAGCTGGTACTAGACTGTAAGGAGGCAAGTTAGAAACAAGGCCGGTTAGAAGACTATTACAATAATCCAAGCACAAATCGGTGGCCTGGACCACGTTGGTCCAAGGTGGCAGGAAGTAGACAGACATTAAATCCAACTTAAAGAGAACCAATAATATCTTCCTTGTGGATTGAATGAAGAAAAATCAGGTTCATTTATGACTTTTTGATCTGATCTACTGAAAAGCAATTTGTTAGTAACTGAGATGGGGCTATCTGCAGGAGGAGGAGGAATAATTTCTAGGGTTAAGCTGTCCAAGTAGAAATGCCAGGTAAGTATTGAATATACAGTAAATGTTCTCACTTAATGCTACTGATACTTGGAAACTGCAATTTTAAGTGAAATGACACATAATGAAAACAATTTTATCATAACCTAATTGATAGAAATAAGAGCTACGTTTCTATAGAATAATTCTAGTCACAACAGAATCATCAAACTGGAGTAACCCAGAGAAAACTCATGCAAACTTGAGAGAACTTGCAAACTCAGACAGCAGACCCAGCTGGGAACTGATATTTTTCTCCCTTAGTTGAAATGAAATTATGTTACTTGAGGACTTGATGTACAAGTTTGTAGCTTAGAGAGAAGTCTGAATTGGACAAGTTAGCTGTTTATAGATGTTTATGTTGACAGAGCTGCTTCTCATAAGGGGAACTCTATATAAAACATGTTCCAGGGTGAAGAGAAGCATAGATTTATTTAGATGGCTATTGATTTACTCAAGTCTTGTTATCAAGGCCAGCTGGCTACAACTAGAAATTATAACCCAAATTGTTATAGTATTTTAAAGTGACAAATGTAAAAACTTATTAAACACTAATTATATAAGATACACTGAATTTGGGGTAGAAAGTAAATAATGCAAGATTCATGCCCTGGAAAACATAAGCTGATAATCACACTTTCCTTTATTTGATGGGTTACTCAGTAGAAAAACTTTTCTGACATATTTAGAGATACTGAAATAGAATTCAGAAAAATACTGTTTAAAATGAAAAGTTAAACATATTTAATTTCATTATTAAACTTTCTTTGTAAGTACCTAATATAGTAGAAAACACATATAGGGTACCTAATGTCAAGTTTGCAAAAATAAAGTGGATATTTACTCTTAAAATAGGAATATATAATGGTAATTGAACTTATTTAGAAATGTTAATTGAAAGTTAATTCCCTAAGCAGGGCATGCCATTTAATTTAAATTTAACTGTAACAATTCACATAGAAATTCTTTATATGCAAGTGAAAATAAGTACAAATTTCTTTTATAAAAAAATTCTCAATAATTAATCTTAAAGGCATTATTACAGGGAAGACTGTAAATGGTTTCATTTGTTACAGTGATGTACATCCTACAGAAAAGCCAGGTTAATTTTTAGATACAGAACATTATATGAGAATGACATTAAAAGATTCCTTTATTTCTTCCAATTAAAACTATCATCTTTCCATTTGAAAAAGTAATTATAACACATTAAATTTATTTTATTTAAAATGAAATATTAGATAAAAGCAGGAAAGGGGAGTGAGTGTTTGGCAGAAGAATCTTTCTCATAGTAACTGAGAAAGATTACTTGAAGATATTCGATTTTGTCAATAATGTGATTATGTGCACAGATGCTGAGGGTATTATGTGAAAATACAGCCCAATGGAAGAACACTGGCTTAGTTCAAACTCAAAGTCATGATTCTGCAAATCCAATACATCTATCTCAAAATCAATATTTGTCTCCTCGTAAGAATAAACTACAGTTTCAGATATGTTTTCTAGGCTCACCTTAGCTTACCTCACTTAAAAGAATAAATCAATGTAGAAACGAAAAAAAACTGCTATTAAAAAAACTAGAAACAATGATTTTTTTAAATGCTATATATTAATAAAAATTCTTTTAACAATGATTATCCCTTCTCTTTGAATTCTTATTTCTAATTATATTTTAGGAAGAAATACTGGCAAACCACTTTAAATTAAATCACTATCCATCTATAAATCCTATGGTTAATCCTATGGTTAATCTCTTAGAAGTCAATAATAAGCATACAATAGTTTGAAGTGGTAGATAAAGCACAGTACTGACGAAAAAGATGCAGGAATCAACAACAGGTCATTTCACGGTACCTGGTACATAGTAAGTACTCAAGAAAATGTTCTTAGTGAATGAAGGAGGGGATAACTAAATAATAAAGGTTAAAAATAACTGGTTACTTATGTTTGCTAAATCACCTGAAGTGTATAGTTAAAATATAGGACAAAGCTGACGAAAAGTTGATCAATCACTTTAATTTTATTTCCTAAGTCACATCAATTTACTCAAAATCCAAATTTGATGGGAAAGCCTTGAATTTTAACCTCAGCTCTGCCAATAACTAGCCTTCTAATCATAAAATTAGGTGATCTCTCAGGGTTCCTTCTGCCTTAAAAGGATCATTTCCAAAGTAAATTAAGAACTGAAATCTCTGAATCTATACTTCGGACTTTTGTTAATCACATATCAATATCCGTATTTCTAAAGGTATGTAAGTTGGTGTCACTAAATAATGCCTTAGCTAACAAGCTTATGTACATTATTTCTTTATCACAAATTAATATGCTATAATTTAGGTATTCCTGAGATTATTTTAAAGCTTAACCTTCGCTACCTGTTTTCTTGATAAGGAACAAATTTCAGTGTGTTCATCTATAAAATAGCCATTGTGAGGACTGAGAATTAATAAATATGAAATGCTCATAAAGTCACAGGCATATAAAAATGCTGGATGAAAACCATTACTATTTTAATTAATCGCTATTAAATAATTCTCTAAATCATTTCAATTTTTCTACATTTCCAATAAATGGCTCTGTTTATTATGTATATTTTTAATAAATAGTGAAAAGCTTAGCATAAGATTACTTTGTAAATTAAAAGAAAAAAATCTTAGCACTTTACGTCAACAGGTGCCAATATAAAATCAACCTAACATACACATGTATGAGACTTAAAAATACAACTTTAAGCACCAATATTAAAATTTTACTTACGGATTTGCTTATTCTCCTTTGGTAACTGAATTTTGTTTGTTTGGCTGCTGCCTTCCAGGACAAACACAAAACTTTTAACTTCCTTATCAAACTCCTATGGAATAAAAATGAAAACTGTGATAACCAAAACATATTTTATTGGCTTATATTATAAATTGGAGCTGCAAACCTGCAGGAAGAACATAAGACAAGCTAAGGTAGTTTCTACCTGATGGTATAGGTTCCCTGTGAAATGGGAGGTGGGGGTTTGAGGTTTTCTGGTGAGTGAATGAGAGCATGTCTTGGATGTGAACTCGGATGGGGATAGAGCTGGTGATGGAAAACCTGAAGATAATGGAGAAATAATTATTTTAGACTGTAAGAACATAACAAGAGAACTTTCTGCGGCTGTTCAGGTTAAATTTATAGTATTATCAATATGAAAGACAACAGATATTTTCTCCAAAGTTACTAAGAAGCTCAGATCCAGGGAGAGAAAGAGACAGACAACAGGGGATTCAGACAAGATTGGCATTTGCTAGGCAGGCATGATAAAGGACAAGGAACAAAGACATCTAAGATCTTAACTGGGAAATAAATTATGCACAATGGATTCTGGACTAGAGAGAAAAGGAAATGAAGACAAAGCATAAAAAAATAAATCTCAACACAGGGGAAATAGAATGGTCAGTGCCCTAAAGGTCTCAATGAAATCGAAAAACAAATATAAGTGTCTAGGGAAGCAGCCTTAAGAACTGAAGATTATGGGTAAGAGAGGAAATCTGAATGTCTCATGTAGTAATTTCAGAGGTTTTGCAGTTTTGTGGTGATAAGGTACTGGATGTGGCAATGGGAATGAGTGCTGGAGTAGAGAGGAAGGGGTCTCCTAAAACAACAGCAGGACCTGCTATACAGAGAAAGTTTGTGAGCAGTGTGCCAGTCTCAAATGACAGCAGCCAACAATGTGATGGAAAGGCTTGAAAATGAATGAATAGGAAAAACCGTTTTGAAATCTGATCCTTTTAATTACAACCTTCACTCACATGTCTTTCCAGGATTTGTGGGGCTCTAATTTCTAACACTTACTTTCCAAATCACAGATGGGCTGCCAAGGATCTTCCATCTTGCTCCAGGATTTTTCCCCTGAGCACTAAAGATTTCAACAAATGCACCTCCCTAGAACACAGAAATGAAATATTTAAATTAAAATGAAAGACAATGCAAAGGAGGAAATACTATCCACCACATAGTCTATAATCACTGTTCCAGACATCTGTGAGTTAAGTAGCTCTGGAAGGGAACATTACCCCAGTTATTACTCCTACTTTATACCTTGATTATGTCTAAGCCACAACCTTTCTGATTTGACTCACCTTGAATTAATGGTTTAAGGACTTTATTTTAAAAGCATGATAAACAGTAAATAAATTGTGCAATAAAACCTTACATTTTCTCAGAGTGAGTTGAGGTTCATTTATTTAACATGTATATAGACCATGCTTATAAAACATTCTATTCAGTCCAGACTAAAGAATTTAAACCCAATGCTCACTCCTGGCTAATAAATTCTGATACTTTTCTCTGGATACAAGCTTTTTAAGCATACTGAAATGACTTCCAATATCAGTTCTACCATTTATTTACTGTTTGATTTAGGAGTTACTTAACATCTTGATTATCCATCTGCAAAATGGGTTGTTGGGTTGCACAGGACAATAAACATAAATCATCAAGCACAGTATCTCACACATAACAAGGGTTTAATTGTGCCAGCAATGATTATTCAAAAAAAAGGCAAAATGAATAGTTTATTATTGGTCAGTAAAAAAACTTAAGAGGAAATGTAGGAGGGGTTGATTCTTTAGTATTCCTGTAAGATCTTTTTATATATTCAACACTAATATGGAAATTTATATATGAAAATTGTACAAGAAACAGAGAAGCACAACTACAGACATTCTATGTGTTCCTTAAATAAACCCAAGAAGATGAAACACATGCGTTGGTAGCAACACTACACACATTATCGAATGTCCATAGCTTAATTATAAAAGAGAAGAGTTAAACAAGAAAATGATCTCAGTAAGAGTGCACTGCAAGACTCGAAACTCAAGGGAAAACTACATATGGTTTTCTATTAAGGATTATTTGATAGATTATTTGATTTAATAGATTATTTGACAGGTATAAATGAGCAAATCCATCTGGAATTTTAAAAGAATTTCCAGCTTTTAATTTTTCTCAATAATATAATTTTGCTTCTGAGTTTTAAAAGAAGTGAAGACTTCTTGAAGTTAAAACCTCTTTTTTAGGAACTCTTGTGCACTGTTGGTGGGAGTGCAAACTGGTCCAACCACTATGGAGAGCTGTGTGGAGATTTCTGGACCTACTAAACATAGAGCTTCCATATGATCCAGCAATTCCACTCCTAGGTATTTACCCAAAGGACACAGAAACATCAATTCCAAAGAGCACCTGCACTCCTATGTTTATAGCAGCACTGTTTACAATAGCTAAGCTTTGGAAACAACCCAAATGCCCAAAAATAGATGACTGGATCAAGAAGATGTGGTACATATATACCATGGAATATTACTCAGCATTCAAAAAAGATAAACACATGCAATTTGCAGCAACATGGATGGCACTGGAAGGGATCATGCTCAGCGAAATAAGCCAAAAAGAAAAAGAAAAATACCGGATGGTCTCACTCATAGCAGGAATCTAGAAAACTTAAATAAGGGACCAGGAAAATGAATATAAGAAAGTGAAAATCAAAATCAACAAAAAAACTATGAACCAGAGACACTTTTGGGGGGTGGGGGGCGGGAGGGGAAGGATTGGGGTCAGAATGGGGCGTTTGCAATTGTATGGGGGAATATAAAAATAAAATTTAATAAAAAAAAAAAAAAAAGATTAAAAAAAAAAATAAAACCTCTTTTTTCTTTAAGGTGGTATCATGTGCAAATTGTGTGTGGTTTAAAATTAGCTTCTGGGGTCAGGGTCACCTTTCACTGAGAATTTTAATTTCAGGCAGCTTTCTTTAAGAGAAAAATAGTTATACTTGGTAAATAGAAATCTTTTTCCCTTCTTGTTTTTTCTGCTTTTGCCTGTTTTCTAAGTTTCCACGTGATGTGCTTTTTTAAAAAATAATATATTTTACCTATATTGAGAGAAAAGTTCTAAAACTGTTCCAAAACATTTATTGTTATCAAATGAAATATATGAAAAGAGAACTACAGAACACTGAGGACATCCATAAGGAGGTTGGGGTGACTGATGAAAGGTAGAAAAGCAACACAGAGGTGAAGACCAATAGAATTCTGTTGGGAAGTTCATCCTAACAGCAGGAATAGGATGGTAAACATATTGGGAAAAAAGAGTGTAACCTAAAGTAGAGTGCGGAAGAAGGGGAGGAAATTCTGGCCAAGGAAAAGCAGTGAGAGAGATGCCAGTGAGGCCAGGAAAGCAGGCCCTGCACTGGGACATTCTTGGCTATTCAAACTAATGAGGAATAATCAGAAGCAGTTTCTTTGGACCATCTGCATCAGAACCAACTGAGGGAAATTGTTACAAGGGTAAAAGTCCCTTATAGAGATTGATTCACTGGTTCCAGGGTGAAGGTCAGGGAATTTGCATTTTTGCAACTACAGGAAGCATCCTAAGGTACCCCTGGGTTTGAGAATCACTGACCTGACCTCCAATTTTGGGAAAAGTGCACTAGCTAAAGTGTTTCCTTGGTTTAACCTATTTGTGCATTCATTCATTCATTCACTCTTTTCTAAAAAATTTCTGGGATACCCAAGGTACTTGTTAAAACTCAAGAGTTATGGGCCCTGTGCCCAAGATTCGTTTTCAGGAGTCTGGTTGGGTTTAAAAGCTGCATTTCAGTTATCCCTACACCTTGAGAAGCAGAACTGGAGATGGACCCACCACCAAATCATGTACCCAGACTTTAATTGCTTCCTTTTCTTCCTTTTGAGTTAAGGTCCCTGGTCCACCAATTCCTTCTTATCCCGAAAAATACCGTGTTATTGAGGAGACTTTGGGGCGCTTTGTCGTCACCCCCAACACGAGCTGCATCACCTAAGAGGAGAAAGCCACAGACAGGTTGGAGAGAGATTTCGGGTTACCTGGTACTCATTTTTGAACATTCCCGCAGGGGGCCCGGGACTTGATGGGGTACAGAGTTCAGGGCTTCCAGAGTAGCGGACCCTGACGGCTGGAAATCGGCGGGCGGGAACCCGGACCCACAGGCGGGGAAGGACCTCGTGATTGGCCCCAACTCGATCAGGTTCTTCTTAGCCCCTGATCAGCTCCACCTCGGGCCCCCCACCGGCGCCATCGCGGCCCCCGCCTTCGGGGTGCGCAGCTCGGGAAGGCGCCGCAGCCTGCGCGGGCTCCGGGCGGGCCCCGGGGAGTAACTGTGCGTAACCTACGTGACGCGCGCCCAGCCGCGGAGCCACGGACAACGGCCCGCTCGCCCGGGGGAGGCGGGCGCTCCGCCGTTGTCGCCCCGCCCACAATCCTTCGGCAGGGGCGGGGCCGAGCGGCGCTACGTTCTGGCCGCGCCCATTGGCTCCCACCCGGCGCCTGCGCGTTGCGCTGCAATGGCTTGTCTCTGAGCTTCTGGAGACGCTTCGGGGTGACGTAGACGATTCCCAGGCAACCGAATGACTCTTGGTGAAATAGTGGCACGCTCTACCCGTGACCCTTCCTGTGCTCGGGTCACGACCTGTCTGCGAAAAAACCCTAAATTTAGCCTGGTGTAATATACATCCCAAGTGCTGGACTCTTCTTGTCGACTTAGTCTCTCTGAGATGTGAAGACTGATAAATGGTAACTTTGAAGGAAAGAGTCGTGGAATCATGGAACCCTCACGTGGCCTTTGGTTCAAAGGTTCCTAAACTTGCCTTCTTTGAGGTAGGAATAGGGTCCGCTAGCCCCTTTCATTGTTTCAAAAGACCCAAGGAAATAGTTAAACTGACACAAGATAACCACACACGTTAAAGAGTCAAGGTGGGTTTTTTTTTTTTTTTTTTTTTTTTTTGTGGTGGTTTTTTGTTTTTGTTTTTGTTTTTGGTTTTTTTTTTCCCCACAAAATAGTAACTACGTATAATATAGAGCCAGGTGTGCTCAAGTCTATTTGATTGTTTCAGTTAGTTTCTGTGTCACACCACTCTTAAAGGATGCATGTTATTGTCAGGTTTTGGCTTAGGAAACTGTGACTCAAAATAGCTTGCCTAACTGCACAGAGCCCATAAGCGATGGAGCTGGTTTGTAGTTCTGATTTGATACTATACTCAAGACTGAGTTAAGTTCATGACATTGGGTTAGTAATCAACTACCACTTACAGATAGGTCAGGTGGTTTACAGCTTCACAACCTGTTGAGGTAAGTATTAGTTGTCTTGCAGTGGAGAATATTGAGATTCAGAGTCGATTAGGAATTTACTCAAGGAGTCAGTGCTGAGTTTTAGCATGAGTCTAATATTCTGCTTCACCCAATAGTCTTTCAAATATTTGTTGTCTCTACAATTTGTCAAGCTCTGTGGATCACGTACAGGCTGAGAAAATGAGTACTATCTGTATCTTCTCCTTATGAAGGCTAAGAAGAGCTAAGGAATGAACTCCCTTAAATATACTAAGTCTGATGCTATATATGTTTAAAGCAGAAGCAGAGGTCTCTCTTATTTGTAAATTGCATTGCAATTTACAAATCCAGTGCAGTGCAATTTACAAATCCAGATATCCCAAATTCTAAAGCTCAACCCTAATACAACAGTTTCTGACAAGGCTTTGTGCTGGGGGCTTAGGGAATTATGTTCAATAGATTTGGTGTCTGTCTTATAAGTCTTGTTATCTGATGTGGTGCTATCCATTCTTTCATTTAACATAAAATTCCTAGGAATGCAATGTGTTCTAGACTATGATAAGTATGGGAAGAGCTAGGTGTACTGGAAAGGACCCCTATCTTCATGGTGCTTACATATAAATGGGGTAAGATAGATATTAAACAAATGAGTAAAAAATTAATTGTATCTTGTGATAAATGCCATTAATTCAGTGATGGCAGTTACACTAGAAGAGTGTAACAAATTTGCCAGTTGTAACAAATTCTCAGATTGGATACCTTAAAACAAAAAATATATTTTCTCACAGTTCTGGAGGCCAGAAATCCAAATTCAAGGTGTTAGTAAGGTAACACACCTTTTGGAGCCTTTAGAGCAAAATGTGCTCTTTACTTCCTCTAGCTTCTGTGACTTTTGCATTCCTTACCTTGTGCCTGTGTCTCTCCAATCTCTGCTTCCATAGTCACACTGCCTCTTCTGTGTGTCTTCTGTGTCTCCTTACAAGGATACTTGTGATGTCATTTAGGCCCCACTTGGATAATTCAGGATAGTATCCTTGTTGCAAAATCCTTGATCATACCTGCAAAGACCCTTTTCCAAATAAGGAAGTATTCCAGGGGGTACATGTTGAAGATATGTTTGGGTGGAGGGAGAATTTTCAACCTAACACAATGGATCACTTGTACTATAATACGAAGTAGTTTTTCATAAATGCTCTAAGAGAATAAAAAATTACAATTAGAGTACAGAAGGATTCTAGGGGACATCTTAGTGTTTTAAAGAATCTATTTGGATCTCTGCAAAGCATCGTTTAACACCATACTTGAAGGAAACCCACAACTTTGTCCTGTGTGCCTTTCTTTCAACCCCCTATCATTATATGAATTAATATGTTTATTGTCTGTCTTTAGCTTTTTGAAGGTAATTTCCATGAGGGCAAGACAGTGGTAATCATTATATGCTATCTCCTAGAGTAGTCCCTGGCACCAATAGGTATTTTATAAACATATATTTTTTGATTAAATGGAAGGTACTTTATCCTTTCAAGCTTTCTGTGTCCCAAACAAAGCTTCCCCAAACCTGGGCTTTTTCCATCTTTCCCAGTACAGTGCCTCCCTGTGATGAAAGATTCATAATGGTCTCCAGTGACCTGACCTTCTGTGTAATCTCCCCTTATGTGTAGACTGGAGCCAGTGACTCACTTCTAATGACTGCAATATGGCAAATGTGCTGAGAGGTCATTTCCAAAATTAGGTTACAAATGGACTGTGACTTCCCTCTTGCCTTCTTTCACTCTCCTGCTCTGGTTCTCCTCCCACCACCTCTGTCCTTAGTCCGAAAGGCCTTTGTACTACTGGCTTCTTGCTTGGATTACTTCTGCTTCCTCCTTTCTTTAGTTGAAGGCTTTTTATCCTCAAAATACAGAGTTTAGATCAAGGGTCCCTTTCTTGGTAACACCTGTGATCTCCCTTACTTAATCAGATTCCCCTATTTTTAGATTCTCATGGCATCTTACACTTAGCGTTATTGAAACCATTGTAATTTTATATTTTGTGTTAGTAATATTGGCCATCTCTACTGGACTACAGATTTCAAGAGAGCAAGGCCTGTGTATGCTTTGTTTACTCTTGAATCACCAGTGCCTGGTTTATAGGCTCAGCCTTGTGTGTGCTATAACAAAAGAGTAATTGAAAGAATAACTAAATGAGAGAGGGAGGAGGTGAAGGATGAATATATTCTTTTTAATTTTTTTTTAAAGATTTATTTATTTATACAAGCACTGGGTACAGTCAGAAGCGTGGGAGGGTGAGAGAATTCACTAGAGCTGGAGCAGGGAGCAGAACAGGCAGAAGGACCAAAGTACACTGCTGAGGGGAGCAGCGGGTGGCAGGAGAGGCCTGCGTGCCATGTGGGACCCTCGCCCGGCGGCCGGGTATCGAACCGGCGCTGCAGAGGCTGCGGGCAGCTTCACAACCCAGCGCTCAACCACTGTGCCACTGAGGAGGCCCAGGATGAATATATTCTTAAAGGACTGCCATGAGCTATGATATTGAGAAAGCAAGAAGAAAGAAATTAAAGATAAAGTAGGGTAAATGAATAACCTAAACTTATTGATGGAAAAATAGTTACAGTGTTGAAATGCTTAATCACAGTATATAGTAAATTTCATTACTCATGTGTTTTGTTTTTCATCACTTGTCTATTCAATTTAAGACTGGAAGGAACCAATGTCATTTACTTTAATCTCCTGATTTCTTTTAGAGAAAGTAATTTCTGAGGTCCAGTTGTCCAAAGGTCAGGACATCTCCTAACACTCCTAACTCCTAACAAGTTAGGAGACTTACTATTGAATTTCCATTAGCAAGTGAGATACAGGGCCTGTCCAGGCAGTGGGCAATTCTAAAGGCTTCCCAGCTTGGATCAAAGTTGTTTTGTCATAAATCACCTAGCAAAAACAACCCCCTAGATTTTGCAACAGATGGTGATTACCAGAGGGGAAGGGCAGTGGTGAGTGCAACAGACAGAAAAGGTTGATTAGATGGTGGATGGTAACTATACCTTTGGTGGCAGGTGAGGTGTGGTATAGAATGTTGTCAAAGTGTGAAGCTATATTCTTAAAACTCATAGAGTGATATTAACCAGTGTTACTTCCATGAAAAAAAAAGTAGTTTGTCTATGGTGAGAACTAAACTTAGAACCGGTAGTGATGACTGCAAAGCCAGATAAGAATGTGTACTGCTTAACAATGTGACCTCAATACCAGAGACAAAGATCTGATTTTATAATGTCAAATGATCTTTGATTTGGATGAATATAAACTATGACCGAAAGAACTGAGATTTGATTATGACTTCAAGAATGTCTACCAGAATTCAATTCAGCCCTCCTCTGCTTAAACAAAACAAAACAAAACAACCCAACCTGCCCAAAAAAACTTCACGTAAGCTAAGTTATTTATGTACATTCTAAAAGGCAGTGGAACAGTTTCTTTAATTGCTACAGTTTTTAAAAGAGGTTGGTATATTTTGTAATTGCATTAAATTGCTTAATTTGACAATATTAAGAATTTGTCACTTTACAAGCTTTAAAGTACTTGGCTTTGTTCTACAAAAATTAATTTGATGGCATATTAATATTACTGAAGGATATTGGACTGTATTTAAACTGGAATAAACTAGACACAGTTTTTAAAGCATGGTAGAATTTTAATGTGCCAATGTACTCTTTCAAGTTAGGTGATGTTATCGATTTGACAAGAAATAGTATTCATTTGAACTAAGAATAAATATTATTTACTACAAGATAGTATGGTTTATATTTTAGTTACAGTTCATGATTGATATATCTGGCTTTATGGGAAGAAAAAGACATTGGTTTGATGATCACAATTTGTTTTGCTTCACAATCTGAAAATGTTTAGTGCCTAGAGGGCTATTTTATTCTTTTTCCACATTAGAGAATAGTTTGATGGGTAACAATATTGCCAAGTTGACAGAATAATTTTAAATCAGTCTATTTTATAGTTTAAGTAAGTTGGAGAAAAGTTAGTGATACCTGAGCCATCCATTTGACTGTTGAGAATAATGATGTCTTCTCTTTTCAAAAAGGTGTAAGTTTTTGAGGGTTTTGCTATTGGTGGATTTTTTTCCTCAAATATTGTTTCCATCTCTTTGGTCTGCAAGATCCTATAGTGGTTATTTCATGCTTGTACTTTTATATGAGCAAACATTTCACAATTTATGCATACACTTGAAATTTCCAAGACCTGAATATTTTCTCAGAGAAAAAATTTGTCAATAGTTGAATGTTTAGGTGTGAATACTTCCATAAATAAAATAGTTTTATATAGCAAGTATTTAGGTTTACAAAAGTGAGCATATTGGTAAGATGCAATTTTTAAAAGGTTAATAAGTTGATTTTTTTTTAACAACCAAAAAGTAATAACTGTGAGCATCTGTATTCTTACAGATGGAAAAAAATTTGGGTGGAAAAAAGTTTCAATTTTTTAAAATAAAATTTCAAACTAAGGCTGAAAACTAATGCAATGAGCATGCATATAGTAAGTTGATATTCAATATCATTTTGTTTTTGAATGACATAAATGTTCTACTTTTGTCAGAAAAAGCTAGGTTAGATTTAAGTAGCAAGTTTTTCTTATGTAACAATTGCTAACACAAAAGCTATTTGTATTGATTTATTGTAAGCCTACAGAAAACAGGATATTCACATGAAAAAGAATGAAGTTGGCACCTTACCTTATACTATAGGCAAACATTAACTGAAAATGGATCAAAGACCTAAACATAAAACTTAAAGCTGTAATAGTTTTAGAAGAAATAGTAGAGGATAATTATTATGGCATTGAATTGATAATTATTATATGACACTAAAAGCTCAGGCAGCAAAAGGAAAAATTACAATACATCAAGATTTAAGACTTATGTACATCATAGAACATGATCAACAGAGTGAAAAGGCAGTCTATGGAATGAAAAAGAAGTTTACAAATCATGTATCTAATAATGTATATATTCAGGATACAAAGAACTTCTACAAGTCAACAACAACAAAACAAATAGTCGAAAGATGGAAGCAAGCCAGGTGTCCATAGTTGAATGAATGGATAAATAAGATGTGGCATTTATAAACAATGGAACATTATTCACAATTTTTTTTCTTTTTTTTTTTTTTGGGGGGTGTGGGACCTTCGCTGGTGCCCGGGGATCGAACTGGCACTGCAGAGGCTGCGCGCAGCCTCATTACCCAGCGCTCAACCACGGCGCCACCAAGGGAGGCCCTATTCACAATTTAAAAAGAAGGAAATTCTGACACAAGCCATGATAAGGATGAACCTTAAGAACATTATGCTAAGAGAAATAAGACAATCACGAAAAAAAAAAAACACCAAAATTTTGTGGTTACACTTATATGTGGTATCAAAGTCAGAACCCAAAAGTAGGATGTTGGTTGCCAGAGTAGGGGAGAGGGAGGATAGAGAATTTCAGTTTTGCAAGATGAAAAATTTCTGGAGATTGGTTGCACAGTAATGTGAATAAACTTAACAATACTAAACTAAATATTTTTAAATGTTTAAGATGGCAACTTTTTTGTGTATTTTACCATAATTAAACAAAGTTAATGGGGGAGGGAAACTAATTAGGAAAAATGTCTAAAAAAGGTTTTTGAGAAACAGTGGTATACAATAAGTTTGTATGTTTGTATGTGTGTGTGTGTGTATGTATTTTAGCTGAACTATTTAAAGTTAAGGTGTAGACATCGTACTTTACTGCTAAAAAAATGACCTGTATCATCTAAGAATAAGGGTAATCTCCAGTATAACCTTATATAACATAATACTAAATGTTTACCATACTTCAGTATCATTATCATCCTCAAGTAATGTGATACCAAAGAATAATATATTATGATATATATATAGTATATATTTAGATTTTAAGTTCTCTTAATCATTTTTTTCTACACAAAGTCTATCAAGGATCATATTTTGAATAGTCAGAAAGTCATTTTAGTCTCTTTTAATTTAACTAGTAACAATTGGGATTTTTTCAAGACATGGCCATTTTGGAAAGTTTAAGGGTGAGTTGTTTTATAGAATATCTCTCATTTGGATTTGTCTAATTTATTTATTCATTCATTCATTTTTTTTAATATTTTATTTATTTATACAAGCACTGGGTACAGTCAGAAGCACGGGAGGGTGAGAGAATTCACCAGAGGCAGAGCGGAGAGCAGAGCAGAGCAGAGCAGGCAGACTGACGAGGTATACTGCTGAGGGGAGCAGCAGGTGGCAGGAGAGGTCTGCGCGTCATGTGGAACCCTCCCCGAGTGGCTGGGGATAGAACCAGCGCTGCAAAGGTTGCGGGCAGCTTTGCAACCCAGCGCTCAACCGCTGCCCCACCAGGGAGGCCCTGGATTTGTCTAATTTATTCATCTTGACTAAATTAAACATTTGGGGTAAAAACCTCACTTAAGTGATTGATTAGTGAACTAAAGTTAATTTTTACTTGTTTCTAAATTAGAACAAGCATTTTTGCATTTTTTAGATAACTTGAAAAATGCAAAAGAAAAGAAAATCACTACAATTTAACCACAAAGAAGTAAGCATTGTTAATGTTTTATAGTATATCCTTAAATAATTTTCTGTTTTGACCATCTAGTTATTATATATTTTACCACTTGAAAATTTGCTACTTTAAATATGCCAATGAATTACTGCCGTCCTCCAAATCTTTGTCCTATTTTTATTTATTTATTTCTTAAAAAGATTTATTTAAGTATACAAGAACCGGGGTATAGGCCAGAGATGTTGGGGGTGAGAGGATACACCAGAGACAGAGTGGGGAAACAGAACAGGCACATTGACTGAAATACACTGCTGAGGGGTGCAGCAGGCAAGTCAGGAGAGGTCTGCTGGGCCATGTGGGTAGCTCCCTGACCAGGGATCGAAATTGTGCTGCAGGGGCTGCAGATAGCTTTATAGGTTGCATCTTAACCCCTTGTGCCACCAGGGAGGCCCTGTCCTATTTTTAAAATATTAGTTCTGTAGAATGTCTAAAAATCCCACTATTTGACTAAAGGTATTAACATCTCAAAGATTTTTTTTCACATTTCTTGGTACTATATTTTCTCAGATTTTATTTGCATATATACACCAATGACCTCCGTATGAATGTTTCTGAATACTCTTCAGTGTAGAAACTAGATACCAGTAGATTGAAAAGGGACTGCAAGTTGGGAAATGGTAACAACAAATGGAAACAATTTGATAGAAGGAAACAGTCTAGAATGCAAAATCTAGAGTGTTAAACAATTTAGAGAGTGTTTTTAATTATTATATGTCCCCAAAATGAGAGGCTTTGATTTTGAAGATACAGACAAGAGAAAGAACAATCATGACTCAATCCCTCAAAAGGAAGAATTGAATGGAGTATTCCAAGCATTCTAAATCTTAGAGAATTCTAAAATGGGGGGATTATGTTTAGACTGAAGAAGAGTGTATCATTCATTTTACTGAAAGGCAAAGTATAATTCCTAGGTACATTAGTATGTGGACTCTTACTACATTTCCTTTGGGAATATTTGAATTTTTATTTTATTGAGATAACATTGGTTTACAACGCTGTATATGATTCAGAGGTACAGGATCACACCTTTTCAGATGTATGTTATTACAACACACTATGGCACCCATAGTCTTCCCCCACACCTATTGGGCACCCTGCATGTCCTGCTCTCCACCTACCTCTTCTACCTGAAGCCTCAATTCTACAGCAGACTTCTAGGGTTTGTTACTGGTTTGGTTCTGTCCAACCCTGTGCTATGTTGCTGTCTTTCACATATAAGTGAAAACTTCAGGTACCTGTCTTTCTCCTGACTTATTTCACTTATATTAGGGCTTATTAGAAATTTAATTTGATATTCTTGAATAAATTTAATGTGCAATCTCTTGGAAGGCCACAGTCATAATATGGTTTTCCCATAAATAAGAATAGTAAAATAAAACCTTTTATATCAGTTTTTAATTAATGTGACTTCATTATTAAAGACATTGTATGGACTGTTAATAGCTCTTTTTGTTCAAGTATTCTGAATAAAAATGTGTATGTGCTGATCTCTAAGGATCACTTACAGTTTGGTTAAACCAACTTTTTCTGAAGTCTGTGAAGTTTCATCAGTCTTTTGTGATGCCTTTTAAAAATGCTAGAAGCAGGCATATCTAAAATATGTTAGTCATATTTATTACACAGTACTTGGTAGTTGTGTAAACTTGTTTTTCTTTCTTCATCAAAAAATTGTATTAATCAACCATATTTAACCAGAGACTGAAATCTGTTTATTTTTTTATCAGTATGACCCATTTAAAAAAAAAAAAAACAAAACAAAAAATCTCTAATATAATCTCCAGGAAAAGCAAGTTCCTTTAATGCACTTATCATAGAACACAGTGCCTTTTTTCCAGGCTCTTCCTCCTCTCACACTTTAATTAGAAACACTTCTTTATGGAAGAGTTCTTTATCCATTCAAAAATGGTTATTTGAGAGCTACCAGCTGCTAAGCACTATGTTAGGCATGAAATATAATAGTCAACTATGCAGTTTATCCTTTGTTTTCTCTTTAATCATAGAGCTAAAATTAACTCCGAACTTACTGAGTGTCAGACCCTCTTCCAAGTGCCTCATATGTATTTTTTCTTGTAATCCTCAAAACCAGTCTAAGAGGTTAATTTAACATTTATTTTACAGATATGCAGAGAAGACAGACAGAGGATAAACCACTTGCTTAAAGTTAGGCAGTAAAAGGTAAGTCCATGCTAAACTGCCTGTATAGCTCTTCTGAAACACACTATTAAAGCAGTATAAGTTAGGCTTTCTTGGAGGTGGTGACATTTCTTACAGAATGGATGAAATTTGTAAATGTAGATATGAGTATGGGGTGAGAGTGTAGCGTAAAAGATATTCCATTTATACATAATATGCATAATATCAAAACAAAGGACATATCTTTCAATTACTTTCCTCATCCATTAGCTTTATTTTATGTGTCTAAAATTACAAAGCAGGATTATTTTAAAATATTTTATAATTCATAGCTCATGAAGTTCAAATGAGCCAGGTTATGTTATATTTGCTGGGGTACATGTTTGGAATCGCAGCCATGGCACCGTCCCTTATTGCTCTTTAGTCTCCTCCTACTTTTGTTTGTTGGCCTGACAGGTTACGGAAGATAATCTTTTAAAGATATTACATAGATAGGGCCTCCCCTGGTGGCGCAGTGGTTGAGCGCTGGGCTATGAAGCTGCCCGCAGCCTCTGCAGCGCCAGCTCTATCCCCAGCCGCCTGCGAGGCTCCCATATGGCACACAGATCTCTCTGCCGCGCCCGCTGCTCCCCTCAGCAGTGTGTTTTGTCGGTCTGCCTGTTTTGTTCCCCATTCTGGCTCTGGTGAATTCTCTCACCCTCCTGAGCTTCTGACTGTACCCAGTGCTTGTATAAATACATCTTAAAAAAAAAAAAAAATTTAGATAGATAATGCACTCAGCTAAATTTAAATTAATTATAGCTATATTTAGATAATTGAGCTACTGAAAATAGGCCTCAGGTTTCTATATGACAAAATTTTTTTTGTATATTTTAAATTCATTGTTATAATTTTGGAGTTACATTTTTTTTCCATATGTGTACCTATTCAACTCACCCTCCACCAAACTACCCTTGTTAATGCCCTTTCAACTTTCCTTCCCCATTCCCTACTTCCTCCTCATTGTTGTTTAAGGTAACCAGTAAATTTTTGCACTAAGTCCAAGATTTGTTTTTGCTGTATTTTGCCAGTGTATGGTTTTTGTTTTAATTTTTATTCTTATTTATTTATTTATTTTTGGTTAATTATTTTCCAAAGATAGCTGAAGCCATCTGATACGTGTCTTTGGCTTTCTGACTCTTTTCACTTAGCATAATCACTTATCATAATCATTCATCTTGTACAAGACAAACATTTAATATCTATGTAATATTGCCTAGGAAATTTGCTACGCTTCTGATACAGGATTGGAAGTAAATTACTTAATACTTATTGAATTGTTCTAGCTTTTAAGTTTTTTCTCCCCATTTCTAAGCCCCATTTTTTGTTTCCTTGGTTGGCTTTTAAGGCTTTTCCCAATTCTTATATTTTTATAATAATAATAGTCCTAATTCTTTTAGGCTAAAATGTAAACACTAAATAGAAAAACATAAATCTGCAAAGGACATTAGCAACTTTGTTTTCTGCTTATTAGCTTGTTTGGAGAATCATTTTCAGTTTACCAGAGAGCAATACTGTTTATAAACAATACCAGGGATTATTATTTTCTTTCAAACAATAACATATAATCTTAGGCAAACATTTCAACCTATGAGAACACCGAGGTATTGTAATAAATATTCGTCCAAAAATATGAAATTCACACATCAATTTTTATTTCAGGTTAGAATATACTGATAAATATGTTGTTACTGCTCTAAAAAAATACTATCTTTTGTTGCTCTATTCAACCAAAATGTAGACTGTTGCAAGTAACCTGTCTCTTCTTTTTGCTTCAAATAGTTGAACTTAGATGCAACATGCTGAGAACTGAATCACTTCAATTTAGGAGATTCTTTGGTGTATAAAAAAATACTCAGTATACAATATTAAAAACCACTTCTATATAAGAAACCCCATGGATCCATTTGGCTTTTTATCTGTAACAAATTATTTTAATTTGGAAACATTTATGCAAATTTGAATGAGTATGTTGTACAGAGATTGTGTATTATAATGTAAATTTTAAATGCGTATATTGGGAACTGTAAGTTCTCTTGTTGAATATTGGGATAATAATATCACTTAATCAAAATTGAGAACCTTATAGATATTTAAGTAGAAATGATGATACTAATTTTTGCAGATTTAGAGCAACAGATAAGAGTTGTGCCAGGCCTTATTTGAAAAAAGTCTTTTCTATTTTTTTAATCTTTGGAATTAAGTTTAATTAAGGAAACAAAGTGTTCCTTTGTATACTATGGACTCCTTAGATGTATTCAAAGGGTCAAGAATAATTGTAGAATACTCACTATTTTAGTCAGTTTTTTTTTTTTTTGCCATGATAATAATCTCTAAATCTCAAAAGCTTAAAACACTAAAATTTTATTTCTTGGTCCTGCAACATTTCTTACCTTGGTCAGCTGTAGCTCAATTTGATGTCTTCATTCTGGGTCACTGGTGCCTTGCCAGTCTCAAAGGAAAGGAAAACCAGGAATGCACTAGAATCATTCAATGACTCTGAAAACTTCCACTTGAAAGTGACAGTCTGTGGATTCTCATATTCTGTAGACCAAAGGAAATCATATGGTAAAGCCTGATGTCAGTGGGCAGAGATGTGTAAACTGTCCTCAGGCAGATGCACTAAATATTTTAAACAATAGTAATATCCAATCACAGTATCAGACTTAAAGTTCAAGATATCATGATAGTTTCTCTATAAAGCATGTATACAACTCCTGTTATCTGGAGACTTATGAACTAAAAAATCAAATTATTTACTTTCTATATCTAATATACAAAGAAGTGGAAATAACTGGAATAAAGTACTTCTGTTTCTAAAAGGAGAATAATGGGAGACATGACAGTTATCAGACGTACCGTTATTTGCTGAAATTCTGAAAGCCTCTTGCTACAGGGGTGAGGAATATCCTTTCATTAGTCACTCTTTCTGCTTTCTGAGAGCATATGTTTTCATGTGCCTCTTTGCTCATTTTGCTTTTCATTATCCTTCCTGGACACATCAGAAGAGGGTACTGGAGAATGTCTTTTCTGTCACTGAATACCTTCCTCAGCCTACCATTGAATCCACTAACTCAGGCACTTGCCTTACTTCTGGGCTTCCTCTAATATGAAATAATATATTTCATTTTTATTTAAACCTATGCGATTGAGGTTTCTCTTACTACAGAAGACAACTTTCTTATAAAAATATGGTGTTAGTCTTCTGCTATATGAAGTGAACTCTGACAAAATTGTTTCTTCAGGCTGAAGAACAACTGTGTCAAACTGATTATTCAGATAGTCCAAAATGGACTTGCCTTTGAAATTATTTTCAAATATTATTTGAAACGTGAAAGGATTATTTAAAGACTTGATATTGCGTATTGATTATTTAAAGATATGATATTGCATATTATCGTATAAAGGTCATTCAAAAGGAAAGAATTATCTTTTGAACAAATGGTGGAGGACTGTTGAATACCCACATGCAAAAGAACGAAGTTGCATGCTCACCTCATCAAGAACACAAGTCACACACACACAAAAAAAATTAGAGTATCAAAATGAACATTTTTTTTTAAAGATTTATTTATTTATTTATACAAGCACTGGGTACAGTCAGAAGCACGGGAGGGTGAGAGAATTCACCAGAGCTAGAGCGGGGAACAGCACAGGCAAACCACAGGAATACACTGCTGAGGGGAGCAGCGGGCGTGGCAGGAGAGGTCTGCGCGACATGTGGGACCCTCGCTGGTGGCTGGGGATGGAACCGGCGCTGCAGAGGCTGCGGGCAGCTTCGCAGCCCAGTGCTCAACTGCTGCGCCACCGGGGAGGCCTTCAAAATGAACATTCTTGTGCTTCAAAGAGCATAATTAAAAAAATGAAAAGACTACCAAAGGGATGAGAGAAATATTTACAAATTATTTATTAGATAAGAGACTCATCTAGAATATATATAATAAAATACATTAAAAATCAATAATAAAAAGACAACCCAATTTGGAAGTGCGCAAAGAATATGAGTAGACATTTCTCCAAATAAGATATACTAATGGCCAATACGTACATGAAAAGATGTTCAAAGTCATTAACCATCAGAGTGAGATCAAACCCATAGCGATAGATTATTTCACTTCTGCGAGGGCCTCCCTGGTGGCGCAGGGGGTTGAATGCAGCGCTGTGAAGCTGTCTGCAGCCTCTGCAGCGCAGGTTTGATCCCCGGGCTGGCCATGGAGATACCCACATGACATGGCAGACCTCTTCTGTCTTGCCAGCTGCTTCCCTCAGCAGTGTATTTCCATCAATCTGCCTGTTCTGTTCCCCACTCTGTCTCTGGTGAATCTTCTCCTCCCCTCTCCCCCAGCCCACACACCTCTGGCCTGTACCCTGGTTCTTGTATGTATAAATAAATAAATCTTTAAAAAATAAAATAAAATAGCTCTATTATAAAAGATGTTGCAGAGGCTATGAAGAAATTGAAACCCTCATACACAGCTGATGAAGTGGAAAATGGAACAATTACTTGAAAAATATTTTGCTAGTTCCTCTAGAGATTAAATATAAAGTTGCCATGGGACCCACATTTTTCATGCTTAGGTATATACACAAGAGAAATGAAAACAATAACTTTGCATGAATATTCATAGCAGCATTATTCATATTAAGTGAAACATGGAAACAAACCAAATGTCCAATAATTATATTCATCCACAAAAAGGAATGGATTGTTGATACATCCCATGGCTTGGATGAACCTTGGAAACATTCTGGTTATTGAAAGAAACAAAACACAAAAGATCACAAATTTTATGATTCCACTTATACAAAAAATGCCTAAGGTACGCGGATGTATAGAAACAAAAATTACATTCATGGTTTCTGGGGATCTGGGATAATGAGAAGTATGGGGAAGTGAAAAATGACTGTGCTGTCACTGAGGATCCTAAAAATATTCTGGAATTACTGGTGACAGTAGCACAACTCTGGGATTCTACTGGAAACCACTGGATTATACATTTTTT